CTCTAAACAATCTCTGAGCGGCTTCTCTGTACAGCGCTGGTGGCCCTGGTGAGGGAACACAGGACAGGGAGTGGGGGAGGTCTCGGCACCCTGCAGCTTCCCACTGCATCGAGACCTCAGCCGTACTGGGCTTGGGGTCTCAGCATCAGGGGACAGTCTGGACAGTCAGCATCAGGGGACATGCTGGCTGCTCCATCGACCCACAGTGCCTGCTTCCCTTTTGCCTGTGAAAAATCTCAGGGCTCAAATTCCAGATCACCCACTTTCTGGAGGAAAAGCCAGGCAACAGCCTCCTTCTAGCCTCTGTTTCCTGCAACACGAAGTGGGAATAGCAGTAGCATTTGCCCCCAGGGTTCTTGGGAGGAACGAAATGGCTGGAGATGCAGGCATCGCTCCCAGTACTGCCTGGCACATTGTGAAAACCAGCCTTGGCTGCCTTTATCCACGCTGCCTCTGCCCTCCTCCACGGGGCCTCCCCTGGCGCCCCGCTTGATGGCTGGCAAGGGTATGGGCCCTCCGAGCCCGGTTCTGGGGCACAGGAACAGAGGGAGCCATCCATTTGTCTGTCTTTTTCTTGGCGGGAGGGGTGGTGGTCCAAATTAAATTTCAGTTTTATCCTTTGTAGTTTTCTACACAATAAATCATCACGTTTCTACATAAGGTGACATGCTCTTGTGAGAAAGGCTTGTGTTTTGGCTCGTGTGGGTGGCGGATACTCAGCCCCTTAGGTCTTGTCCTTCTCCTCGGCTCTGGGTCACCTTGGATCTGGATAGGATTTCAAACTGGCAGGAACAATGACAAGGATGATGCAAAAATCTGTGCACCCAGATTCACCATTGTTAACTCACTCTCTGCCTGGCCTCCTTCACCCACATGCACACACATGCCCGCACACATCCGTGCATGCACACACCATTTTCTCCTGAGCCATTTCACAATAAGTTACAGACGTGCCCTTTTGTCCCTAAATATCTTCAAACTCGGGATATTGAGCATTGCTACAATTGTATTATCTAATCCACAGGCCACACACCGCTTCATCAGTGATCCCAATAATGTCCTCGGGGATTTTCCTGCTTCCAGATCACTGCTGTCCTTAGTGGCCATGGCTCCTTATCCTGGAATAGTTCCTTAGCTGTTCTTGAACTTCACATTTTTGAAGAGTCCAGGCCAGTTCTTTTGTAGAATGTCCCTCAGTTGGAGTTGGGTTCTTCATCTTGAAAGCTCACACTGTACCACTTGTTTTACTACGTGTCCTGTGATCCTTGGCGCTCCACTGTGGCTGGTGGTCACACCCACATTTTGCATGTGAGCATACAAAGGCGTAAGGAGGTCAAGCCATTGGTCTCTTTGTGGTCACATTCCCAGGAAGTGGCAGAGCTGGGATTCAAATCCAGTATTATCTAATCTGCTTGCCCCTCAATAGGAAGAATGACAGCAAGTAGACCCTGAGAATAACAAAGTATGAATTGGGCACTCATTGTGAGCCAGGCATTGTGCTAATAAGTAAGCATCCTCACCCCATTCCTGGAAGATAGCTGCTCAGACCAGCCCTGACTCACAGATGGTGATCAGAGAGGTTAAGTGGACTGCCCAGGGTGCACAGCTGCTAGCTGACAGGGACTAGCCCTGTCCCGGGCAACGTGTGTGCTGAGTCTGCACACACTGCCTGTGCACTTGGGTTTGCTGGATGCCTTAGTCGGGCAAGCATGTGAGCCAGGCTTTGCTGACCCTGCAGTGTGTTTGTCCTTTCCCAGGGCCTTCTCAGGGGGAGTGAACACATCCCAAGGCTGGTGCTACTCTGGGGGTCTTCCTGGTGGTCCAGTCTGCCCTCTGCCCCTGGGCGTGTGCCTCCATCCATCTCTGCGGTCTGTTTGTAGCAAGCGGTTGGCATTTTGATGATTTTCAGGTCAGGAATCCCCTGTGGCCGTTCATTTGATGGTGGGCTCACTCACTTTTGCCCAGCAGCCCAGGGCCCCTGCCCGTGGGTGGCCAGTCCTGGCTGCAGGCTGTGCCCAATTTGCCCCACTGCCTGTGCAGCATTTAGGTGGCATTCAAGGCCACTGCCCTGGGGATGAGGGGGCCTCTCTCGCCGCAGAGCTGGTGATTAATTATTCAATCTGTCTGTCACATTCCGTGCCCTGCCTTTCGGGTCGTGGAGAGGAGTGGATGCTCTGAGATGTGACACACTGGGAATTCTCTGGCAGAACAAGGAAGATCCCTGAACACAATGGCTAAGGGGCCGGTGTCTGGGTCCCCATCTGTTTCTCACCTCCGGGGACCCTGGTGGTTCAGAGTCTACCTGTCACGGGCACTTGGCTCCTCACTCATCAGAACGCAGTGCTGGGAAGTATTGTCAGCATCCTGAGAAAGCCCGTGGTCCCCTGGTTCAGGTGCAAGTGCAGGGCGTGTCTGTCAACCACAGAACAGCGACTGGCTTGTCCTTGGGACAGTGTGTCAGGCAGGAGGGCGTAGGAGCAGCAGCCACCTCACCTTCAGGCTCAGGCACGGACACATGCGGTGTGGCTGCCCCCACCAGGCTCCCTCTTCTGCTGGGCTGGCTAGACCCTGAGGATGAGCTGGCCCTGGCACTCTGTGCTGGGCCAGCCTCCTTTCCCTCTGGCTTGGCTCTGCGGGTGGGAAGTGATGCTGCTGCTGCTGCCAGGCTCGGTGCATGGAAGTGGGGCTGTAGCTGCTGCGCTCTGACCACCCTGGCCAGCCCAGAACTGCCCCCCCCCCCCCTCCCCACCAAACCTCCTGCACTTAGGCAGCGAGCCTCTGGCTGGGCCCGCTGCTGGGAGGAACTTAGACATTTTACTTCCCTAATTTCCATGCAACATTAATTAAAAACATTAATCAGTTTGGCTGCCTCAGAAGGAGGTTCTTTTTTGGCAACAGCTTACTTTGCAAGGAGGAGTGAGCTCACAAACCAGTGTTTCGGCCGCATATTTGTTTGGTGTTGGGCAGTCTCAGCCTCTCTGAGCTTTAGTTTCTGCATTTGTAACAGGGGGTTGGAGCTCCTACTCTGGCCTCACCTACTGGGGTTGCAGCAGGTGCTCAGCAAAGTCCCTGAGGATATTTCTCATCCAGGTGTCCTGTACGGAGGACCATGGCGCTGTTGTTAGGATGTGTTACATTTCTCTAGTCTTTACAGCGTATAGAGCACAGCTTGCACGCACGGTCTCCTGGGGCATGCCTAGGAGATGGGAAGAGGGTCACATCAGACCTAGAGCTGAGATCCTTGGACTCAAACTCCAGGCTTTTTGCTCCATTCTCATCAGCTTCACTTGCTCCCTGTGCTCATGTACTGAGCCCCTCCACTGCCTGAGTCATTGTGGGGAGAGAGGTGGAGGGGAGCCCTTGCCCCCCTAATTGAAGGAGACTAAGAAGTTAAGGCCCCACACTTGCTTAAGTCTACATAATCGCCAACGTTTCTAAGTGTTCCTGTACCAGGCCGCGTGCTCAGCTCTGCAGAGGTTCTTGCTTTCAGAACAAACCTTGAAGGTGAGAAACTGAGGATCAGGGAGTAGCTTGCTCAGGCTCCAAAAAAAGATGTTTTCAGTAGAACTGGGGTGCTAACTCAGGCAGCCTGACAGAGAGTCCCCAGGAAGCTGGGAGGCTGCCCTTTGGGGTAATCAAGCCAATGCATTTTGACAATAAGGAACAAGCACCTTTCTTTTCCAGGCAAAATGCCTGAGAAGCCTGGGAGGCTGGGTGTGCTGAGGAGGGCATCTTTCTGAGCACACTGTCTGCCAAGGGGACTTCTCCCAGCGAGGGGGCATCCCCCCTCTCTCCTGCTGGGAGCTGGTACTCTGAAGGAGGAGCACTGGGTGGGTCCGAGTGACAGTGCTCCAAGGGAGAAGTGTTGTTTGGCCCCCGTGACACTGGCACATCCAAGGGAGGCATAGGGCAACCAGAGGGCCTCAGGGACGCAAATTGTGGCCAACTTTTCCTGGAGGAGGGAGGGAATTGACGGTGGGGAATTCAAGCCACCTGGCCCCTGTCCTTGGGGCCAGGGCAAGAATTTTTCTCTAGCTGTTTCCAGAATTGAGGGCAAATTCCCCTTCTGAACTGGTCAGTCTTTTTTCTTCTGAGTCTGTGTTCACGGAGTTCCATCTTCTTCATGATTTGGCTTCCAAGATCTGGTGGAGTTTGTGTGTGTGTGTGTGTGTGGGGGGGGGCGGAGTCCTGGAAGGATCACTCTGTTGTGAGGAGATAGGGTGATATTCTGGGGTGCCACTGCATCCCTTGAAGGAGAGGTAGTCAGTGTCTGAGCTCACCCTGCTGAGCATTGGTCCTGCTCCAGGGTATCTTAGGTGGTCCTCCCAGAACTTGTAAGACCAGGGGTGGCCCTCTCACCCCGTTCCCCACACTGCCTTACCCCTTTTGGCCACCTCATGTAGCTGTCTCAATGATCAGTTAGGATAAGAATCCCTGGTGACTTTTTGAGGCTGGGGGGGGTCCCCTGAGTAATTCATGATTTTCACTGATTGCATGTTACAGGATGACAGTGTGGGTCGCAGAGCAGATAAAAGTTGCAGTGAAGTTAATCTGATACAGCTCCCAGGGTTTACACAATCCCCACACCTTAGGCACCAGGGACTGGCCATTCTCAGAATGACGTAATTAGGAAGGTGTCTCAGTGCCCTCTGGCCAGAATTCCTGGAATCCCATGCGTGCTGGCTTTAGTGGGGAAGGGAAATGGGATAGAAGGGTGAGGGCTTGGCAGTCAGAAAGGTCTGACCATCCTGTCTGGCCTAGCCTCTTATTTGATTTCTGAAATATAGAGAGCTATCAAAATCAATCTCATGGGATTAAATGGCCTAATGTATTTAAATATTTATCACAGTCCTTGACACATCATAGTTGCTCAGTAAATGCCTGCTCTTTGCTGCTTCTCATTTAGCACATAGTAAATGAATTTATTATTTAAATGAATGAAATACCCGCTGTGGGCATTGATACTAATAGTTCTCTGTCCTTTTCTTATGTATTTCCAGAATCCTGTTACCTGGAGGTAGGTGCCTTTAATCTGGAAAAAAAACCCACACTTATCCATTCAACACTTCAGAGGGATGTGAGAACTGGCGTTCCCTGAACTAAAATTATAATGCCTTGAGATCTGGAAAAGTCAGGTAAGGGAATTTTTCCTCTTAAGCCTTATGGGACTAAAAATGGCTTTTGGAATTGGCGATCTGCAACACACTGGGGTTGTGGTTCTTGACATCTCAGTTTGGCTTCCTTTGCTGGTCCATGGTGCTTGGGACTTCAGCTTTCTGTCACCTCACCCTGATACACAGGGCCTGGTGGGGCGGCTTGGTCATCCATATCTTGTACCTCTGGAGCTCTGTCTCCTGTCCAGCCGAGGGAGTCCCCCACCTCTGCCCTCCTGTCTGGGTCGGGTGCTCCAGCTGTCCTGTTAAGGCCTGTTAGACACTACCAGGGAGACACGGGAGAGTGCTCTGGGGGTTAGTGATTAGGTCAGAAGGCCTCTGGGGGCGTCTAGCAGGTGATCGATTCCTCCCTTCCCACCTCCCGGAACTGCTGGCTCCAGGCCCGAAGGTCTGAGGCTGCCTGAGGCGGAGGTGAGACAGGAAGGCCAGGGCTCCAGGCAGACGCAGCTTCTGCTCTGGCTACTTGCTTCCCCTTAGGCCAGTCACTCAGCTTCTCTAAGCCTTGGTGTCCTCATTTGTGAAATAGGGATCTTATTAGTGCCTATCTCAGGAGGATGTTGTGGGTATTGAAAGAGACAGTGGAGATAAGGAGCTCACTTAGCATGCTGCTTGGCAGTGAGGAGGAAATGTGCCAAAATGAGAGTGTTTTTTTTCTTTTAAATTTATTGATTTGTACCTTTTAGAGGTCCTTCCATGCAGCAGGGTATGTTGAAGTTCCCAGTCTGTTCTTCTTTCTGCCTTTCACCTGCCATTTGCGTTGCTAAAGCCTGTGAATCACCTTGCCCCTGGTATGCGGACCCTCACCCTGAGCAGGGTCACTTCCTTCCTCCTCTCCCTCCTCCCGACTGCAGCCAGGGATTTCAACCTGCCTCCTTTACTCCAAGTGGTTTCTTTTCCCTCCCCTGCCTCTGCCCCCATTGCTGGTGAGCTTGTTCCAGCGAGGACTCTCTCCTAGGTCCCCACACCCCAGGGTTGGGTCTGCCATTGTGTACACTGAAAGAACAAACGAATGAGTCACTGGAAAGGAGGGAAAGAGAGAGCTTGGGGAGAATGAAAGAAGGGCGTTTGTAAAGATTTAGAGCAGGGAATGAGGTCAGTTGCGATTCTTTTTAAGGAGATGTTGAGAAGACTAAATAATGTGAAAAAAGGAGAATGGTGCCTACCACAAACTTGAAAACTATGCATGGACAGAAACGTGGGGGAGAAAGGTGGATTGGCAAGAAGAAAGCCAGGGAAGGCAGAACTGGGAGGGGAGCAGAAAATCGGACTAATGTGGTACCTGTGTCATCGCAGGACACACAGGGGTGGAGAGCATGAGACCTCGCCCTTCAGACAAGATTGGGGGCCTGATGCACACACAGCACACTCCAAGCTCACCAGGTGTGTGGGAGGCCTGTGTGCAGCCTCTTAAGGCCCTTGCAAGATACATGCAAGTAAAACCTGTTAGCAGTTGTGCAGTTATGAAGCCTTTCTAGCCTACTCTACACCTCTGTGCACGCCTTCCCCATTCCTGTGCATTTCAGTATCTAATTTCCCACTTCTGGTGTCAGAACTCTTCTGCAGTGAGGACCACTGACAGGACTTCTTGTGCACAAGCTGCATGCCCTTTTTTGGCCTTCAGATGCTCAGCTGGTCCTAGAGTCCATGCTCCCAACCTGGGCAGTGGGCTTTGGGAGCAGGAGCAGACGCAGACCTGCAACAGCCCAGGATCTCCACTCCCTGTAGTGCCTGGAAGGCTGGAATAGCTGTTCCCGTTGGGGAGAAAGGGTAGGTGGGACCATAGTCACTGCGGTAGAGGACCTGAAAGCTGGAAGAGCTGTCTCTGGGTGCTGTGGCTGCAGAAGTGGGCAGGGTGACCTGCATTCTGTGAATGGAGGAGAAACTTGGCAGGTCTGTCTGAGGATGACGGGAGAGGAATGTCCCTAGAATTCAGCTGTGAGAACAGGCAGAGCAGGGGCAGGTGCTGAGATTCAGAGCTGCACAGTCCAGCACACTTTCGGGGCAAGGCTGGTCTGTGATGGGGGCTGTGACACTGAGCCAAGCGTTGGTCCTTGTGCCTGTGGCTCTTCTCGTCCTAAGGGCATGGCTCTCCCACTGGGAACCTGTCCCTCTGCATCCCTGCTTAGAAATCAACTCACCTGGGCTGCACGCCAATAGCAGGGCACCTGCACCTTTCCCGTGAATGAGCCTGGGCCATTTGACTCCTCCCGCTATGGAACAGAGGCACTGGTAACCTGGATTCCACTCCAGCACCACTTTCCACTCCTCCATGACCCTGGGCAAGTCCTTTACTTCTTTCCAAGCTCTCTTTTCTCAGCTGCAGAATGGACCGGTCTCCCCTCTTCCACCTGCTTACCTGTCTGGGTCCCAACCTTCTCAGTGTTACTCTATCATCCAGGGCCCTCCTGGGACAGGCACAGAAGGTTGGCTTCTTGGCTTTGATCCCCCACCTTGCTCTTCGACCCTTCTCTTGACCCTGCCTCCCCTGAGCATCTCTTGGTTCCTGTGTGGCTGCCCCTTTTGGTCCTTGGTCTGGGGGTGTCTGATGGCTCCTGCCTGCTGGGGCCAGGGGCCAGCCCAGGTCTTTAGCCACAGGTACGTGTGTAAAGGTTGCTTCCTGTATTCGGTGTCCTTCACACAAAAAATACTCCAGCCCACTCAGAGCTCTACACTTGAAACGGAAATGTCTTTTTAATACACCTCTAGTATTGGCTCATTTTGTTATTACTCCTTGTGGTTTCATATTGAGGTTTTTGGCTCATTGCATTTGATTCGGAGTTTATTTTTAGTAGCGTAGGCAGCATAATTAATGTGTAAACATGAGAGCAAATGCAGAGGAGAAATACGTAAGTCTAGGGGAAAGCGTGCTTAATTTTGTTTCTTCTGATAAAATTGGTCACACCAGAGGACACTGAGCTTCCTCAGTGGTGCCTACCATGAGCTCGTGCAGAGTGGGGAGTGGTGGCCGAGTCACCTCCAAATACGAAACCATTGCTGGCTTTCTTCCTGTCCCACTTGTCTAGCAGCTGGCCACACAGTGAATGAGTGAGTGCCTCAGTTATTATGACCAACAGTTATTAAGCTAATATTAAAGGCTGGACTTCGGAACCTTCATCTTCCATTATCTCCCCAGTGGGTTCGTTCTGTCTTCAGAAACAGCATCTGGCTTCTCCCTGGACTGGAAATATCTTGAGGGAAGGCTCTGGGTCTTGTCCTCACCCTCGCCCCAGTGTTGGACATCATGGCAGGCGCCCAGGATGTGCTGGGCCAGGCTTCCTTGGATTGACTGAATTGCAGGGCCCTGAGTTTGGGCTAGCAAGGCAGAAACGATTCAGAAAGAACTTCAAGCCTCAATCTGCTTTGGGAGAAACATAAGCCCACTGCCTGCTGAGCACTTTCTCTTTCTCGTTCTTTCTCCTTTCTTGTATTCCATCTGCCGTGTACCACGGTGTGCAGCAGCTGGAAGAAAGCGGAGAAAAGTCCCCATTCTTGCTCTGAAGAAAATCCTGAGACAACCTGGCTTTATGGCGCCCTGTTTCTATGCGCCGCATGTGCGTGTCTCGTCCCCAATGTGATGTCACTAGGAGGTGGGGCCTTTGGGAGGTGACTAGATCAAGGTCATGAGGGTGGAGCCTCCATGATGGGATTAATGACTTTATGAGAAGAGAAACCGGATAGTGGCTTCTCTCTGGTCTCTACAATCAGAGGCCACAAGAGATGGCTTTCCGTAAACCAGGAACTGACTCTGCCGACACCTTGATCTGGTACTTCCAGCTTCCAGAACAGTGGGAAATAAACTGCTATTGTTTAAGTTGCCTAGTCTCTGATATCTTATAGCAGCCTGAGCTAAGACACCATACTTCACAGATGAATGGATTGGAGACTCCGAGCGATGGCATTGATGAGACCTCCCTGTTAGCTGGCGATCCAGGCACCCAGACTTGCACCCACCTCACCCTTATCACAGACACATCTGGACTCTGTCCTTGCTGCCCCTCACTGCTTCATCTGTCTCTCCCTCTTTCCTTCTCCTCTTCTTTATTCTCTGCTGTCTCCCTTTGCCCCTCTCCAAGCTCTGTTTGTTTTTTTCTGAGGATGAGGATCTGTCGGCCTGCTGTGCCTCCTGGGGGAAACGTTCTGCTGAGAATGGGCTGTGCTGTCTGCCTGGCTCGGGGTCTGTCCCATCCTGTCCACCTCCCCAGCACCTGTGGGTTGACTGGCAGATGACTGGCATGCTGTAGCAGTTCCCTCCCTGCCTGTCCTCTGCCACTTTCCCACTCTGAGCCAGGTGCTGTGCCAGCTGTGGGGAGACAGCAGAGCAGATACGGGGGGAGACGGTGTAGTCAAATAACTGTATTTGCAGTGTTACAGGCTTAACATCTGTGCCCGCTCATCTCCCATCCCAGATTCATAGGCTGTGTTCCTAACACAAGGGTAGGGCCCTGATCTGATAGCACTGGTAATCATCCTTGTAAGAGGAGACACCACAGAGCAATCTCTCTCTCTCTCTCTCTCTGCTGTGTGAGGACACAGCAAGAAAGTGTCTGTCTGTGAACCAGGAAGAGAGTTCTCACTAGAAACTGCATCAGCTAGAACTTGATCTAGCCTCCAGGACTGTGGGACAGTAGATGTCTACTGGGTAAGCTGTGCAGCCTCTGATGTCTTGCTCTGTAATGTGAGCCCACAAACATAGAGGATGCACGGTGCAGGCCATGTGGGGCAGTTTGCTGGCCTTAGCCTCAAAGCCACTCTTTGAGTGTGAGTGTCGGCTGATACTTTTAACCTTCACTTTTAACCCCATCTTTAAAACAAGGAGTTTGAATCAAATCACCACGAGAGCTACTGCTGGCCTGTTTTGTCTGGATCCTGACTTTCAGGAGTTTCCTATGCTGGGCCCTAGGGATGGTTTTCACTCTTCCTCTCTTCCTTGTTCAGACAAAATTAGGTCCTTACTGAATATC